AAAGTAGGGACGTGTTATTTTCACATACACACACATGCATACATACATACATCCATGCATGCATGCATATATACTGTAATAATCATACCGAACATGCATGCATGCATGCATGCATACTTATCCACAGGTATCAGATTTCACATGACCTTGTGCCGAACCGCAGACCGCCGCCGCAGGCGAACTCACTGAAGGCAATTTGTGTCAGTGGCCTTGAGCAGGCTTCTTTGCAGGTGCGGTTGGGGCGGGTGACCCAGAGCCTTGGATGGGTTGTGCTTCAGAGCTTTATTTGGCTCATGTAAACTGTCAACATGTCTCATCTTCCGCTGATGGGTGGAATGTAGCTTGCCTGCACAGGAGTACACGTAAGTCGTCGTCGTCTTGGCAGCAGCAGCTGCGAAGCTGTGAATGGAAGTGGTGTAGTGTCGGCACTGGCAGTGGCTGTCGCAGTATATACCAGTAGTGCTAGTCGTCGTCGTAGTAGGTTTCGGAGGAGGAGGAGGAGAACAAAAGGAGGATCAGGAGCAGTAGCAGCGGTAGCAGTCGTAACAGTCGTAGTACTGCTAGTAAGTACTATGTACTACATCTGCCGTCGCCCCTATCCCTGCACTGCTCACCAGAACTATTTTCTGCTCGCAACTTCCAGCGCTCGCATTCTGCTACTTCGCTGACACTATTTGTCGCACGCCCTTCCTACAACCCAAACCTCGCTCGCAGGACCGTCAGCTGCTGTTGCAGCGCTGCGCAGCATTTGGAGCTGCTCAGATGATCCAGGAGTGTACAGATTGGGAGTGGTCAACAACACATATGCAAGTCTGTGGTGTCCTGTCCGGATTCCGGGCATGTCTGCTTTCTGCCTCCAGCTCAGGTCATGCGTCGTTACTCTTTCTTCGAGGCACTTGTGCCAGAGTCCGTTATAGTATGTGCGGAACTTGGTGATGGTACTCGTCTGCACCCTAGGCCCCAAACTCTAAGCCCCAAACCAAAATCCGGGCTGCAAGAGCCTCCTGCACTGACCGAACCACAGGCCTGACAGGCCATAGCCATGGTCACATCGAATTCCCGCTGCTCTCCGGAACTCTCAGCCCGACTCCAAGGAAGCTCCTTTCTGAAGCTGTACTTGAATCGAAGCCAGGGTTGCTGCCTCATCGAGTTCCAAGAGTGGGCGGCGGCAGAAGCGGCCGCGGCACATATGGCAGGCCGACTACCTTCGGATTTAGGCGGTTTGTGGTCCTGACATCGTGGAGGGGCCCGCACTTTTTTTTTCCTAACGTTGGCGGTCCCCGGCGGCCCTTGGTAACGTTGGCAGTAAGCCCGTTAGCAAGCTCTATTGGAGTTCAAGGCTCAGAGTTTGGGGTCGCTGCATGTCGCAGATTCTTGATGGGCGCATGGCTTTGAGTCTACGGGATAGTTCGGGGTTGAGGGTTTCGGAGGTAGTTATAGGGTGTGAGCCGCAAGCAACGTATACTGTAGGCTTGCCGTCGATTGCTTCTGCATGCCGCCAGTACTTGGGACTAAGCAGCCTGGGCGTGGTTCAGAACGCATTACGGTGGGTCCTGGATCTGCCAATATGTGGGGGGAAGGCGATTCCGCTGTGCCCTGGATTGGTTCTGAATCGATCCCGCCAGTACTTGGGGCGCATCTGTTCTTTTGCTGTCAAAGTATTGCCTCATTCAGAACCACACTCAAAATGCTTTTCCAACTGCAGCGGCAGGGAAACAAGCAAACGCGCCCCGGAAACGATCCCAAAAAATAGTTTAAAGCTTTCTGTATATAGATACGATATCGTATATGCTATCTTTATATCATCTACAGATTATCTACGCACTCTCGCTCTCTCTCTGTATACATACATATGGTACGTAAATCTTATGTCCTGTATGTCTAATGTATACATCATGTACATTAGACAATTTTTTTGATATTGACACCTGCTGAACATTTCGTGTGAAACCCTCGATACCTGCCACTTC